TATATATATATATATATATATATATATATACAGGTATATAAACCAAGCCCAGTTATTGTAAGCATTTTCAACAGTTAATCTATTTCAGTTAGGTTATGTAGGTCTTGTGTAGTTAGGTTTAATGTGTTATGTAGGTCTTGTGTAGTTAGGTTTAATGTGTTATGTAGGTCTTGTGTAGTTAGGTTTAATGTGTTAAAACTACACGAGGGCTATCTGCGTTAGCCGTTCCTAATTTAGCAGTGAAAGACGAGAGGGAAGGCAGCTAGTCATCACCACTCACCGTCAACTGTTGGGCTACACTTTTACTAACAAATAGTAGGATTGACCGTCACATTATAACTCCCCCACGCCTTAAACAATGATCATGTTTGGTGGTAGGGGGGATTCGAACTCGCGACCTCCAGAGTCGAGCGCCCTAACCACCAGAACACGTTATTCTTGTAAATAGGAATTATCTTAGGAAAACTCTAGAATCTTAGTCTCTGTGTGGAATTAACACAAATAAATTTACTACTAGTTTATTCCTAAATTTTAATTAAATGCGGTTCATGAAGTATTAAGATTTCGATTAAAAGAAAAGTTTTTTTAAATCTTCAGAAGTCTCGTAAAAAATCGAACTACGGCATATACCAATGTTACGAGTGTTTGTTTTCAATAGAATTTTAAGAATTTAACGTTTTCAAATTTAGTAAAACAATTAAATTACTAGTTTCAGTAATAAGAGAACATATGGAACATTCATAAAATAAACGATCTGGGTTGCGTAAGACAATCTCTCGATTTGTCATAAACTTAAAGAAAACTTTGACTAAACGTAGAAGAAAGTTTGTCTAATACTCTGTGAATGCTAAAAAACAAAACCACCAACACAACAGCAACAAAAACGTGACAATCACAGACATCCCAACTTTCCCGGAACTCCCGGGAGTATCCTTGATCTGCGTAAAACCCTCCCTCTTCCCGAAAATAAATGAAAGCCTTTCGGAGATACATATACTTTCTCTTTAAAGGTTTAATATGTTAGCAAATATCAAATAGACCAATTTCATATGATGTATGCATACACAATTAGATTGGTGCTAAGCAAGAGTGGTTGTATAGTGAAAACAGGGTAGTTGAAGTTGGTTGGACAGTCACCGTCCATCAAACATATAAGGTTATCACAATAACAAGTTTTTTCGAAGGCTTGATATCCGTGGGTCTTAGATAGATTATCTCCCTGAAGTCATTTACATGAGCTAGAGCTGTCTTTAATCAGTTTTGGACCAGTGCTTATTGCCCAGTTTGACCCAGTGGACTTTCGACCGTTTGGTCAATGTTCGTGTCCCGATATATATCGTGCACCACACTTAGGGGCTGTGAGTGCGTTATAAGGGTGACGATTAAATCCTACTAATCGTTTCTGAGAAGAATTGGCAGTACGTGATGATGAATGTCTTTTATCTACTCTATAAGTTCAAAATTAGGGACGGTTTACTTTGTGAGAAAATCCGAAAGTAACCACCAAACTGGTGCTTATAAGTAGCTGTTTAATTCTTCAGCATTTATAAGATATTTCATTCAAGTCTTCTGTAATTTAAGCATAGGCTTCGGAGATGGTGGGAAAGAGAACCAAGGAGACACCACTCACCCTCTTTTCAAAGAGGGAGACATGAACACTGATCAAAGTTAAAATATGCGCTTCTAAAACAACTTACAATGAGGGCAGAAAAAAACTAAGTATTGAAAATTGTTCAACGCCTGTATGATACGAAACTGTAACATACCTCACAGTATTACCGATCCAGCTTAAGTTGTCTAAAACCTGCCCCGATTTTTGGTCAGGCGCTAAGGGAAGGGAGATACCATATTAATATAAGGAGATGCTTTTGTTTTGCAAGCTAGAACAAAGTACATTTCTATATAATGTATTATTACAATAAAGTATTGTCGAATTTTTTCAGCTGATAACGTTTCAGGACAGTTTACAATAGGGTGACCATACGTTTCAGATATCCAGAGACAGTTCCCGGATGAGAAATGTTGTCCCCGAGAGAAGAAAAAACAAGTTATTCGATTCGATAGGATTCAACTCCATTTCAACTGTTAAAGTCATTATGAAGCAACGGAAATGAATTAGGAATAAACCTCCAGCCACTTTTATTATCGTTATTGTTAGCTTAGGTCATCGTCATGTGACGAGACTGGTACAATCTCCACAGCTTCAACCTAGAATTTATCATTACGCGTTTCTGTGTTGTTGTTTTTTAGGAAAATAAAATCCTAAAATACACACACTCGTCAGATAAATTCAACTGACACTAATACAGCAAATTTCTTCGCTACTGTCTGCATCTCGAGGTATAAAGTTTTTAGAAATGTGTCCCCGGTTTTTAGAAAGGTGTCCCCGGTTTTGGTTTACAAAATATGGTCGGCTTAGTTAACAATATGTCAATTTTACTAAACCAAATACGTCATGGTCAGAGACCCCACATGGTCGGACCCCACACCCAACACAACACACGCCTTTACTATCCTTCCGGCGCCTATGAGTTTAAGCATTTTTATTTGGCGTCTCGTGATTAATCTTCAGCTGACCTGATGAGCTCTGGGATTAGACGAAAGGCCTCATCGGCATTGAATATAGCAAACGTAGTTTGGTTGACATATTATTACACAATGTTCTTTGCTTTCACTCGTAAGTTCTTAGAATGACGTATAATTTCTACCTGCTTGTTTATAACCATCTTCTAATTTTAGTGAATGGCGGTTGGTCAAGCTGGTCACCTTGGAGCGAGTGTAGTAACCGATGTGGCCGAGGAACACAAACCCGAAAGCGGCTGTGTACCAATCCTGCTCCACTGAATGAAGGAGAACAGTGTGATGGTGAAAGCGTTCAGAAGACCGACTGTACAACACTTTGTCCCGGTAGGTGTGCCTTATTTCCCTTTTTTGTGTCCTTCGTATTCACAAATGACCGTGTTAAATTTTGTGAACAAAATGTTATCAGGACCCACCTAGGAACAGAGAGATTGACATTACTTGGTGAGAGTAGTCGTCCATAAAACATCGCTGTTCTTAAACAGTTTTTAATTTAATCGAAACCAACATCAGTATACATGAACAGATGAAGATTCAGTTGGGGTTGTGGTAAATTGCAAGTCAACCTTGAAAAGTCAGTAGATCGGACTAATCATGGATACCTTGAGGAATTAACATATTGAACTGATCTAGATTTGGGTCTGGATCTTGTTAAATTGGAAGATACCTTGAGGAATTAACATATTGAACTGATCTAGATAATTTAACAAGATCCAGACCCAAACCTAGATCAGTTCAATATGTTAATTCCTCAAGGTATCTTCTAATTTAACAAGATCTAGACCCAAACAGGAACCTTGACGAGCTAATATATCGAACTGTTCCGGATTTCGATGTGGATTTTATTAAATTGCCGAGAACCTTGAGGGTTTAATATACGTACAATTTTGCGTGTAATGAATTAGTCATTAGAAACTTCATCCTTGTGGTGATCGTGTTGAATATTAAAGTCATTAAATCTGAACGTATATAACTGATATTTTAGTACTTATTATCTTATTAATAACGTAATTATTGAGCAAAAAAATAAGTAGATATCAGATCACATGATCATTTTTCATCTTTTTACCAGTTTACAAATACATGTCCTGTAATTGAAACATTGTGACTGCGGTCGATTTCAAGCGATAAGAAACCGCACTTAATAATTGATATTGTTAATCAATAATAATAGCTGCTGTGTCATCGTCGCATAATAATCAGTTGCTTCTAAATAATTTTCGATAATTAACGGTTTTACACTGTGTCTTTAAGTAATCGAATATCTGTACGCGTTGTGGACTAATTTATAGTTCTGCGTCAGGATTGGTTATATTCGAATATTTACACAAATCCGAATTCTATGGGGTTTTGAGTTACTTATTAGGTTACTATATGGTGACGTAAAACGGACTCAAAACCCCATAGATATTATATACATATCACTATTATAAGAGGCCTAATGGTGTTTCTTTGGATTGCTGACCCAAGCTGTGCTGATAAGCCTTGAATAGGCGAAACTACAGTCCATAGGAGATGGTACGGCTAATCAAAGACTGCATTAGTCACTTACGTCAAAGATTCTTTTTTCAATTTCACCTCTGGTGAAAAGGAAAATAAATCTTTAAGAAGTCCGAATTCTGATTAGCATTTAATTTGGATATTCGGAGGATCCAATTTAAAGTTTCAGCATTAAAAAGGGCATTTTATTTGGTTACTTGGGTGAATCCGTTTAAGATTTTAGCATTGAATACGATGTTTAACTTGGACATTCGCATGATCCAGTGTAAGGTTTTAGCACTAAATGCAAGATTTTACTTGGACATTCGGAAGACCCTTTTAAGGTTTTATTATTAAATACGAGCCATATATAATGGTGAAACGCTAAAGACAGCGTGGAAAGACAACCTTGCAATGAACAGTGATCAGAATTCAGTCGCGTAGTACAGATGTCCTGTACCCCCCCCCCCCGCCAACCCCCAAGGCTGATAGCAAGATCCTCTTAATCTTAATGGTGTCAGGTTTTACAGCGACGGCGGGAGTATTATTTCTCTCAGATAGTTCTTTCATGTTCTATTTTGACCCTTTCTCTTCTCATGGGACAGTCTAAGCACGATTTTCCGTTTTGCTTCTAGACTAATCTCGAAGGCACGGTCAGAGTTTGTGGGAACGAACAGAATGAAACAGTTCCAGGCAACCACCGGCATTATATGTCATCTCCTTATCAGATTTTTCTTAGCCCTCTAGGAAGTTCAAAGGCCAACTCGTCTACATCTCGTGCATGCTAACATTATGTACAGGTGGATTGAAATACTAGCGGCACGACCTATCTATTTTCAGCAGAGTTTGTGTCCTCACTGTAGATCCTTACAAGACGATTGTAACGCGTTAAACCACAGCAACGACACTAGTTGGAGTTAGCCTCATATTTCACGACCTAGCTATTTTAACAGTGTTTGTGTCATCACTGTGGATCCTTACAAGACGATTGTAACGCGTTAAACCACAGCAACGACACTAGTTGGAGCTAACCTCATATTTCACGACCTAGCTATTTTAACAGTGTTTGTGTCATCACTGTAAATCCTTACAAGACGATTGTAACGCGTTAAACCACAGCAACGACACTAGTTGGAGTTAACCTCGTATTTCACGACCTAGCTATTTTAACACTGTAGATCCTCGTGAGATGGTTGTAATGCTTTAAACCACGGCAAAGACAATGAGGATACGTTATCGTGATTCGAACGCTCTTACTTGTGCTTCCGGCGTTTACTCAGCCTGGGCGTTTACGTTTGAAATGTAGACAGGTCTGAAAAACACTGAAATACAATCACATAAAGTAATAAACAACGTGAACAAGATACATGTGCTTAAAGAATGAATCTTAAATCAAAAACTGGCGGGCGGCTGATTCGTTACAGGTAAGACTTGTAAAGACACTTGAGTTAAAAAGTAAATATTTTCTATAATACTAAATTCTTTGGCGATCTCTAAAATCCACTAACCTTAATCTGGGCCACTAACAGCGAAATATCCAAACATATTTTGGATTTTACCGTGAAGGTTTATTTATTTATTGTTAGACATTGATGAAAGTATTATCTGTTTGAAAAAAAGTTATCAAAATAGACCGGAAATACACAATAGGAATCATTATTTATTTTTTCTTCTTTGAATTTTTTCTCTGTTTTAGATAATGATGTATTATGCCGCGAAAATTTATGAACTGAGCATGTTATGACTATATTAAAGCAGTCCGGTTAATGAAACACAAATCGATAATAGTACTAGTATCCTGAATGTTTTATGATGTCGGAAAAACAAACAAACTAAATTTAGTTTGTACAAGATTATACATTTTGTGTCTGAACCATATAGTTCTGTTTTTAGTTTTTAATTGTCCTTCATCAAATACTGTCGCGCAGTATTTGAAAATGTTGGCTGAAGCTTCAATAAATGAAAAATTCCAAGAGGAACTGAGATCCTCAAGAAACGTCTATCGAACAGCGCCACCTCGAGTCTCGCCTGTTAGATTATTCTGATTTAATTTTTTTTTAATCAAGCAGTAATAAAATAAATGTCATCATCCCATCCAAAGACGAATGTTGTATTCAATATTTATATTAATTAAGTTTATTTTCTACAATTTTGCATTAATTTATTGATGTAAAGCGAATAAAGTGTTGTATGAAAATGTTGCCTGCTGAATGGACCACGACAACCGGCTCTAACAGAAAGAAACCAAATATTTAGAAAACATCATTTTTGTTACTTTTTTAAGATTGTAAACAAATGCATGTTTTTGAAAATTCAGTCCCAGACATATTCGTGCCAACTACAAAATACAATTTTTACTATCTTATTTTAAAGTCATATGAAATGTACATACAAATCACTTACTTAAAGTAATGTAAAGACACAAACTCTTTCGGGTACATAAACATAATATTGATAATTTTCCTTCAGTTAATTTTTATCATGCCAATCAGCTCATAATTATGCATGGTTGGCTAGTTTTTGTATGCGAGTTTACCATTCCAGCGATGTATTATTATAAACTTGGCCGTATTACCTCTGTCATATCACTTGATGATTCTTAGTCTTACCTGTCTCGTATTGTTCGTTGATTCCAGTTGTATTGCTCATACTCCTATCATATTACTCAATTAGTTCTGAGTAACTTTTACCCATGTCATTTTACTCAGTTCTCAGTTGTCGTCCCTTTTATCTGTATCATATGACTCGTTGGTTCCTATAGTCGTCGTTACTCGTACTTTTGCTGTATGGCTTGTTGGTTCCGACTGTCGTCGTTACTCTTACTTTTGCCGTATGGCTTGTTGGTTCCTATAGTTGTCGTTACTCTTACCGTATGGCTTGTTGGTTCCTATAGTTGTCGTTACTCTTGCCGTATGGCTTGTTGGTTCCTATAGTTGTCGTTACTCTTGCCGTATGGCTTGTTGGTTCCTACTGTCGTCGTTACTCTTACTCTTGCCGTATGGCTTGTTGGTTCCTATTGTTTTCGTTACTCTTACTCTTGCCGTATGGCTTGTTGGTTCCTATTGTTTTCGTAACTCTTACTCTTGCCGTATGGCTTGTTGGTTCCTATAATCGTCGTTACTCTCACTCTTGCCATATGATTTGCTCGTTCCTCTGTTATATTCCTTGTTGGTTCTGAGCAGTCAATATTTTTTCCTTTGTTATTGAAAGTAATAAAGCTTTACTTGCAAATCTTAGTTATTTTTGCTATAACGATGTATAGGAGACTGCATTTCAAATAGTTTACATTTATTAATTCTCGTAGTTCTTACATTAATACTTTTTGTGTCAGATTTCACTCCCCCCCCCCCAGTGGCACAGCGGAATGTCTTACAACGCTAGAATCCGGATTTCGATACCAGTGGTGGGCAAAGCACAGATAGCCCATTGTGTAGCTTTATGCTTAATTACAAACAAACAAACACTCGCTCCCAACTGTTATGGTGTGATATTTTCTCTCTATTTTTACGGTTATGTTGATGTCATGTATTTCTTATTTAATCACAGTAATTTTATATGATACATAAATATATTTTAACAACTTATTGTAAATATTATTTTTTTCATCTTAATTAATCTTTAGTGTTACTTTTTCTACAAGGTTGTGTATAATTAGTGGTTTTTTAAAGTGTAGAATGAGTAAAATAAGTAAAGGTATATATATAGTTTTATGTACAGTGCCAGGTAAAAATAACTGATTTCAATGGTAAGTTACCCTTGAAAAAATACTAGTTAAGAAGACTTCTCTATACCCAAGAACTTTTCCGATAGAACTCATGACAAATGTTCATTCTTAGCTCCAACAAACACGTTGTATTATAGAAAAATATTTAAAAATATGACATTATATTGAAACAGAACAAGATGTCGGAGTTTTTTTTCGATATTGCACGTATACATGATGTGATTTTGCCTTAAACTTTGAACTACAGTCATCTCTGATATGAATTGTTTCTTTGATTTAATGCTGCACAAAGACGTTAGGGAGGACGATAAAGGTAAGCGATTAATCTTTATGAAAGGCTACAACTTATTGGTTGATGCATTTAAGAAAGGTTACATTTTATTGGATGAAATATTTAAAAAAGGTTACATTTTATTGGATGATATATTTAAAAAGGTTACATTTTATTGGATGATATATTTAAAAAAGTTACAGTTTATTGGATGACATATTTAAAAAAAGGTTACATTTTATTGGATGACATATTTAAGAATGTTTACAGTTCATTGAATGATATATCTAAGAATGTTTACAGTTCATTGGATGATATATCTAAGAATGTTTACAGTTCATTGGATGATATATC